CGCAGAATGGAACGGAAGATGGCCTCGTGCATTCCATAGTGGTCTCTTCCAATCAGTCCTGGTCTGAAAAGAATTTCAGGGGCTCTGTTAAAAGAAAAAAAAAAAACTATTAGACCCGACAAAGTTCTGACCTGCAGCCACATAAGCAGCAATGTTTCAGCCTGATCTTTCAAACAGGTGGCAGCTCCAGGCTGGGAACCAGTCCAGGCTTTGTGGTTTGAGGCTTGCATCATGTTGTCAGAGGACTGTAGTCAGAATACAGCTGCACTTTTCTAAAGTAATTCCACGAGGTCCTCATTCCACCAGTGTTAATCAACACCTGAATTACAAGCAGATAAACTTGTCTGGATAGCCTTTTGTCCTTGAAAAATGCTTATACGTCATATAACGCTTCTGCTCATACTCATTCAATAATAATAATAAACTTAAACCCTACAAAGCTTTGACCTGCAGCTCCATAAGACTGGTTCAGTTTGATCTTGAAGTGGTTGCAAGCTGCTGGTTTTTGGATATACTGTATGAATGTATATCCAATGTGTAGCCAGAAGAGATAAGGGAGACACCCGGGAGGTGAGAATATCATTTTTGTATTTTTGCAAACTATGCAGTCTAGTGGCTTGTAGTTGGCTTTGCACCCAAATATACAAAGATGCTGCCCGTCCTTGGTCAGTAGGATTAAAGGGCATCTATGAGGTACTGTAAGCTGGCTGTGTGCCCAGAACATATGAAAGGAACTAACTTTTGTCTAGTCTGCAACTTAGATATGATTAATAAGATTGGCATGTGTTGTCTGATCATTCGTTCAGAATATGTTGTAGTAACTTGTTTGTTTTTGCGGTATAAAAGACCATCTTTAGCTACTTATTTTTTAGTTCAGTGGCTCCAAGCCCTTCTTCCATATGCATATAAAAAGAGATACAGTACTCCTACTACACAGACACTTGGACTTTGTCATTCGGATGACAACACCAGTTTTCAACCAAGGTGGTGTCATTTTTAGGACCTTTCACATGAAATGATTCATTATCT